CCCCTTACCCCCATCCTCCCACACCCACCGGGGGCATTAGAGACACTACCGTTGCATGCCCCACTGTTCTGTCCTTCCAAGCACTTCACAGCACTCCACCACCCGCTCGCCGTTTCGACAGCCTGGTTACATCCGCCAACGCGACGAAGAGACAGCAGTGAGGAGGTGGAGGCGGTGTGCAAAAGGCCATTATCTCGACGACGCAGGTGAGATTCGAACTCACGCGGGGAAACCCCAATGGATTAGCAGTCCATCGCCTTAACCACTCGGCCACCGCGTCTCAACCACGCCTCTTTCCACCATCCACCAACCTCCACCCTTAGCATCTTCTAATCCCCACGACTGCCACCACCACCACTGCTGTCTTCTTCTCGTATGCCTGGGCTTTCAGTCGAGCCTCGCCACCTATGTGCACTGCCGCCTCCTCCTACCTACAAGCAATCAAACACCCCGTCTCTCTCTCTCCTGGCACTCACACTGTGCTCTCCCCTCCATCATCATCATCATCATCATCATCATCATNAATCAAACACCCCGTCTCTCTCTCTCCTGGCACTCACACTAGTTTTTTCACTGGTGTGCTTTTGCAGCATTTTCCATTGTCGTTTAGGCGGGTAGATTTGTTATTGTTGCTGGTGAGAGTTTAATGTCACAGTTGTTGAGTGGTTATATCGTTGGGGTATACCTCCGTTGGAGTCTCTCTCATGGGTTCGTGTCCTGCTCGAGTAGTCAATCGAGGGGTTAGCGTGGTTCTTCTATCACTTTTTTCTGATATCTTAATCAGTTTTTTAAACTAATGCTCCTTTAGATTTTAAACAATTGAAACTTGTTGTTCCTTTTATTATAATATTAGACCTCAGTGGAAATTCTATTTGATTATTGCTGTTAATCTACCATGAAACACTCTGTAACTAGCATTTAGTTGACCGAATTTATGTATAAGGTCCAGTAATGCTGTGATAGCCAATTGTAATACAATCGCTATTTCTTAATGCAACAGAATTCACTAGATAAGCTTTCGTGCGGTGAATAAGGTTGATATATGAGATTTTATGACACTTTTGAAAAATATTAGATATTTGATATCAAAGCGTAGATGGAATCTGAGCGATAAATAATCCAATTTGAGGTAGGCTGTGTAGAGTCATTATTCTGCTTCATTAGTTCATTTGGTGGCCAATTAGTGCATAGCGTTGTTGTTACTTTTAACTAGAACTGTCCACACGTTAAACTTAACCTGTGTTTTTGGTAGAAAGCTGTTAAATTCGTTAATAGTTAATAGAATTTTAACTATAAAACTCGATATAGAACATAAGTATTTCCTTATAGAGTCGGGTATTAAGGAGAAGTACTATTAAAGTCTACTAAATAAGAAAGTGGAACTAACACACATCTTATGAATAACTGACATATCTACGGAGAGACATACAAGAATTATACAGACAACGTAATGGCTTGCCAATCACCAACTGAGTGAAGGGCAGACACACTTGAGCCACCTCACTATAAAAGGGGGGCAAGAGAGAGTTGATTCCAACGAAGAAAATTCTACTACCACTAAAGAAATGGGAGGACCATCGTGTTGTGATAATAAATGCTGCGATCCAAGTGTATGCAAATGCTGCGAGGGGTGTAAATCGAACCAAGGATGCAGTTGCGAACCTGGCAATTGTGCCTGCAGTCAATGTCCTTGTGAATCCTGCAAGAAGTGCTGTGCTTAGACAAAATGTTGTGTAATGAAGTAGTTTTATGCATTTAATAAAACACATTCATTGCTTTTGAAATATGGGCTTTATTTTTTGGCAATAAGGAGGGGACTATTTTAGGAATTTTATATTATTAGTGGGAAAAATGTTGGGTATCTGGTCGGACCCAAGAGTAATCGTTTCAGAGATGCACTTCAGTATCTATATATTAAAGTAAATAAGGTCAAAATTTGAGAAAGAAACTCAGAATGCTCGTTTATTGACACTTTTTTTGTCTTAGTTTCTACTAACGCCGTAACAATGCCAAACACAAAACGTGGTGGGGAAATTATGTATGCTTTAATGGTATTGAGATATTAAAGTATGTTACTTTACTGTTCAACTCAGTAGAGAGAAAGCAGATAAATTTGATTCCTCTAAAAGTCTGAAATAATTTGAGCGATGTTAAGGCAAAAGTAAGACAAACAAATACCAAAATAGAATGAAGGAGGTTGTATGATAAATGGGAAAATAGCCTCTCAGAAGGTAGGCACTATTAACTAGCAGAGGTTAGTTCCCACTAGATTGTTGAAGGATGATAAAGAAAGCTTAGTATCTTACGTCCTTCACCACACAATAGAATGTATTTATTTATTTATTTCAAATGGCAGGCGTTTCGATAGCTATCATTAGCCCTTTAATTGACTTCGGGCTTCACAGAGGGAAGGTTCATCAAAGTAGCAGAAAGTCGAGGGGTGGGGAACAGAAGAGCGATTCACAGATGTAAAAGAGGCAGACAGACACAAAGGCAGAGAAAAGGGTAAGTACTGTGAAAGGGGTCGAATATGACAAGCGGTCGTGCCATGGTATTTTGAAGTCAGAAGTCAACTGCCGGTTAATAGACTTTTTTGCAGTATGAATATACGTTGCCCAGGGTGCACCACGTGGAGGTAAGTCTATCGCACACCCCACACAATAGAATGTTCCAAGGGCTATTCTGAGTGGAATGTCTAAAGAACAAGAATGCACTGGTGAACCTGCCCAGTGTCATTTTTTAAGTGAAAGGGGAAAGAAGGTTCAAGGGGAACTAAGATCTTGCAGCTGTAACTCAGAGGCCAGCATCTTAGTTTAATCTTTCTAGTTAAGTATAATCACGTAAGTCTATGCGTAATGATTCTGTGGGGTGCTTAAATTTGTAACAATGACCCAGGGCCTTCAAGAAGCGCAGTGTGAGGTTCAATGGCAATCTAAACCCCTAAACGTTCTTATTATAATTTGGGTTATAAAGAATTTTTCTCACTGTTTCTCTTTTTGTTACGAATCTAGCTCTCGTAAGTTTATTTTGGAAGCTTGCCGTACGTTCCTGGAGGGGTGATAAAGGGTGTGGGACACGTTATCGCTTAGTGCGTCATCGCATGCCTGCACGCCAGGATTGGGAGGTGCGGCTGTACAACTCTGTGTGCAGTGACCGTGCAAACAGTGGTCTCCGTTTAACCTAATCCGCCATCCTGATCATGATTAAGCTCCCCGCGTATACACACTTTGCTCACAAGATACTTGCTGAGTAAACATATTCCGTGCTGTAAGTCTGTTTCCTTCATAGGTGGGCTATAGCTTAGCTGGTTCTAGGAGTCTAGCTAGATG